CCCCCTGATCGTCATTTTCGCGATCAGGGGTTTTCTCTGTGGGGTTTTTTGTTTGTTTATTTATTTCTTTTTCAAGCTTTCTTGTGGCCAAAGAGCTTAGGGTACCCCTTACGAAGAATTTCAAGTGTTTCTTCCTAGGTCTTTTTTAGGGATTAAATCGCTTTATAGTGGCAGTTACCTCCCAAAGTCAGTGAATCTGTGACTCCGGGGAGTTTTTGTAAGCAGAGCCTATAGAAGAAAACAAGGTACTTAAGGTCCCTTGAGGGCCCCCACCTTCTGCACTTGGAGGCTATATCTAGACTGCAGAGTTTTTCCGGGATACTGGCAGTATCCCGGAAAAACTCTCCCACATCCAGGGATCGCATCTGCTTTTTTGGAACAGTTTCCGAAAAAGCGGGCACATTCTTTCAGCATCTCTGAATTCCTCATTTTATAAGGTTATTCCAAAAGAGGAGGTTTTCCCCACATTTGGTAGATTTTCCAAAAGAGGAGGTTTTCCCCACATTTGGTCCCATACAGATGGGCCAAATGTTGGAAAAGCCTCATCTGAAAAAACAAGTGGAAAAAGATACGCAAATTGCATATCTTTTTCCGAACAAAAATTGCAGTGTAGATATTGCCAGAGTGGGGAACAGCCCTGACCAATGTAGAATTCAGAAATAAGAAATTTTGAAATTGTTGCAGTTTTCATTCTACAAACTATTCTCTGTGTGAGTGAAAGCTTCATCTCCAGTAAAGGATCTGCCCACCATGTATTTTTTCTGTTTTCTCCCCCACACAAAAAAAGTCTAAAATTTATTTTACCTGCAGCTTTTAGGGCACTACGAAGCTCATAGGAAGACATGGTGCCGGTTTTATCAGAATCAAAATGAAGATAGATACTCTGCATGGGGGAAGACACTGACATTCAGCATTTAGTAAGTTCACACATCTCACATATTTAAATTGTAGCACATGAAGCCATGGAGTTCCATATTCTAAATGCCTCTCTCAAAATCTTGACGTTGCACACATATTTAAGGAAATGGAGGCAATGTAAGGGATGGGGGTGCAGTGACAGTGGGCACAGGGGTCTCGGAGGTAGGAGTTCTGTGAGAGTCAGTGGGTTTTGCTGGGGTCTCATGAGTGGAGGTGCAATGATAGTGAGGGTGGGGGATCTCAGTGGAAAGGGTACAATGTGATTCAATGGAGTTGGAAGGTCGGGTGCAGTGACAGTGTGGCTGGTGGGGCCTCTCAGGGTGCAGCAAAAGTGAAGCTTGGGGTCTCTCCTGAGGAATGGGGGGTCTAGAGAATTAAATAGGGTTGGGGGAGTCTCTCTGGGTGTACAGTGAGTCATTGGAGGTCCAATTCTATGGGCACTGCTTCTTCCCTCTCATTCTTGCTGCTCCCCATCACTTCCTTCTCTGCTGGCCTAGCTCTAAGCCTGCTCCTACAAGGGGAGATAGTTAGAAGGGGAGGGTCTGAGGCTTCTGTGGCTTCCCAGCCCCATCCTGACTTCTAGGCTGTGCCAGGGCCGGTCCCCCATCTGAGCTCTCCAACTGCTGCTCCCCAGTCCCTTGCAATTCCCAGCCCCAGGCTCTGCTCTCCCAGGGCCACAGGTCCCCTGTCTGCATGATCAGCAGGTGGAAGGGCCAGGGAGTGGCCATGGGGAATGGAGCCCTGTGCTGTGTGAGGATGAGAAAGGGGCTGGGCAGCTTATGAGGCATCAGCTCTGAAATATGCCTTGTGCCCCCCAGTAATCCTATCTGAGCTTTACATTTTCCCCTAGATCAGAGACTCCCTGGGACTATCCCCTCTTTAAGCACTGAAGGAAGGGAGAACATGCACTCAGAGACAGCTGAATGCCGTGGCTGACCCTGGATGAAATCTGAGGAGCAGTTTTTGGGTCAGGGTACAGACTGCAGAGTGCCTTTGGTGCTGTGAGCAAAAGAAGCTGATTCTTGCTATTTAATTCGTATGCCTTCAGAAACATAGGACTACCACCAGTTCCTATGCCTACCTGGAATAACTGACTAGATCCTGAATTTCTGGCTAGCTGGTTGGGTCAAAAAAAGAAGTAGGAAGCTTGCTGAGGTCAAATCAAACAGTACTGTCAAGATCAAAGCACTCAAAATAATTTTATAAATAATAATTTGGCGTTATTTTTATGTGCCCTCAGGTTTCTGAACCCCTAAGAATCACTCAGTTAATGTTTTTGTGCTTTGCTCCATAAACAGGAAATCTAGAAAGAGGGCAACAAAAACTATTCTAGATTAAACTAAAATTCACACATAATCTCTTGCCTTGAGAAACTGAGGTGTTAAGAAAAGCAACAAATATCTGGAGACTCACAATAAAACCATAAAAACTGGCAATAGTGATCAAGGTTTGACCCAGATATTAAATGTTTATCAAACCGAAGTAAAATTCCACATTCTCCATGTGGGTTGGGGTACATCAATCTTCACTCTGTTGTGAACTAGTTATATCCATAGTTATATTCATTCTGAATGTTTTCATCAGAAATATCTGGAAATCTCTCTACTGGGGACATGAATTTCTTAAGTGTGGCAGTTTAAAAAAAAGCAATAGTTTTATTAAAGGAGAGATGAAAGTGATCCAGAAAAACAACTGAGACTTTGGATGAAAAATCCGGGAAGTATAAACTTCCAGCTATCACATCTTGGATGTAGCACAAATACAAAAAAGATTATTAATGACCCATGAGGATGCAATTATTGTGCCTTGCCATGCAATCCTGCAAACGCATATTCACATGCTTAACTTTACTATCATGAGTAGTGTCAGTGATTTCAAAGGGAATATTTACAGTAGGAAAGTTAAGTCATGCGTGTAAAGTGTTTGCAGATTTGGAGCCTAATTGACTAATACTGCCCCAGACTCTCAGTATTGCTGACTGCTGAGGAGAGAAACAACGAAAATATAATAATTAATCACATGACTAGTTCCTTGCTAATTACAACTCAGCATTTTCTTCCTGTGTGAAACAACAGAAATACACCCCCCGCCCAGTGTTATTTTGATTGGCTTCTTATTAAAGCACATTTCTGAAGTTCATTACCTCAAACATAGTTTCTTAACTTGACAAAATCTCTGACATGTCCAGTAAACCATTCTGGTTTGGGGCAATGGAAAAACCTAAGAATTGATCTTACCTCCCAGGAGGAAAAACATTTGTGTTTTTAATCAATACTTTGTGCTTTTGAAGACATATGCCATTAGATTTTTATCTCTGACTAGCACAGAAATATAGGGCTGGAAGGGAACTTAAGAAGTCTAGAAGTTCATCCACCTGTGCTGTGGCAGAATCATATATCTCTAGACCACCTCTGAAATGTGCTTGCCTGACATTTTCTTAATAAATCTCTAATGATAAAAGAAATCTCCAGTTACAAATTAAAGCTGCAAAATAATGAATATAGTCACATACTAGCCACTTCTTCAGTTTGTCCCAGAAAATCTTGAACTCATTAAATTCCAGTTTCCCGTTACCAGTGGACTAGTATAACAAACATTAAGGAAAATACTGGTTAGGTGAAGTCCCATGTTTTGTCCAAAGCTGCCAGTCATTCCTTCACTCAGATAACAGTATCTGCACCAGGAAACCTATGATGCTTTTGGGAGCAAACCATTGTATTAAGTGCGGTAGGAAATCTAGTAGAACATTGAATGATATCTCAGCTGGGTACAGGAGCAGCCCTAGCTGGGCTGCCAGCAACTGGTGCCCTAGGCAAAACGCGCGATCGGCGCCCCCGCCTCTAAACCCCTCAACGGCCGTTTATCTTGGCACCCTAGGCGACTGCCTAGTTCACCCATATTGATGGGCTGCTCCTGCTGGGTAACATAGGGAGAACACTGTCCCGACATAAGAGCAGCTTTGTATTCCAATCATATATATAGTAGCCCGATGTCTGTGACTCTGTAACGCTGTAGAGGTACGAGTCACCTCTGGGGGGCACTGTTGCCTTGTGCCGTGGCGCTCGGCTGAGTTCTGTGCCGCTCGGTGCTGCATGGGGACTATGGGCCCAAAAGGCCACTTGTGCTGCTTGTTCCCCAGTGGTGGCCTGGCTGAGCGGTGCAGAACTCAGCCGAGCGCCACGGCAGGAGGGGAAGGGGGCAGGGCAGTGACATACATGGCCAGGGGGCAGGGCCCGGCACTCATGTCCATTGTCAGGAATGAGAAAGATTCCTGAGGGCTCTTGCATACATTGAAAATGTTGCCCCAGAGAATTCATGTTAGCATTAATCTGAAAGGATACATCCATAAGAGAGATGATGTTTCTGCATGTCATGAGGCATACTTTGTCAAATTTGATGTCCTTTGCTGAAAAAGCAGAACAGTCAAGTTACGTAAGAAATTAAGTAATTGGACAAAAACTTAAAGTCTATAAAATTAACAATGGAAAAAAGCAGAACAATGCACTTCATAAAGGTATCATTCCAAAGATATTCCTATAGCCACTACCTGCAATTCCAAAAGAGTAATTCACTTAGACCATATCTACACTTCAGATAAGATCAAAGCAGCAGAAGTTGATCTTTTGGGGTTTGAATTAGTGGGTCTAATGAAGAAACACTAATCTGAACTGAGAGAGCACTCCCACTGACACTGGTAGTCTTCCTTTGACAAGGAGTAAGGGAAGTCGAAGGGAGAGTGTACTTTCATCGACCTTCCACAGTGTGGACAGTGCCAAAAGCCTATGTAAGATACCTCAGCTCTGGCTACGCACTTTATGTAGCTGGAGTTGCATATCTTAATTTGACCTTATCCTCTAGTGTAGACCTAGTCTTAGAGGCTAACTCTGCTGCCTCAACTCACATGAGAAAGCTCCAGTGACTTCAGCTAAAAAATCTCATTCAACAGGACTGCTTAAGAGAGTAACAGCTGCAGGACTAGTTTTGTAAATATAGATTATATATCTATATTATGTTGTATATATTATATACACTATATATATATTATATTATGTTGTATACATTATGTTGTATTCTATATATTGTATATATTCGTAAATATAATAAAATGGCATTATTATAGTTGATTGGGGATTGATCATCTCATCAACCTGAGGATGCAGAGAGGGGTGAGAGAATCATGGTTTCAAAGCCATAAGCTCCATATATTTTATGTATTTATTGGTGTCCTAAGCCTAAGGGTTGTTACACACGTTTGAAAATTCCATTAAAAATATTATTGCCTGATCCAAAGCTCAATGCAGTCACAAAATCTAATAGGATTCACCATTCCTGGCTTCACCGGGACTTTGCTCCCTTAGTATTTACGTTAGGTAACATTTGCAGAAGTGCCTGTGTGACTTAGGCTCTTTTGAAAATTTTCCCTTTTAATACAGCTATTCAACATTTTGCTTTCTAGTGTTTTAATGGCAAGGGGGAGGGAACCAACCACCAACTAGAATCCTCGTCGTATAAGAGCATAATAGGATGCACCTGCCCATTTCAGATACAAGAGACCTGTAAGCCAGCACTATCCCATCCCAGCTTTGGCTTTTTAAAATGTCTGGAGAGCAGAGAGTGTGATCAGTGAAGGGAGGAAGTGGTCTTTTGGTGATGAGCTGGGATTTGTAGAGCACCATTCTGCTGGTTCAGGACATAGTTCCTGAGACTGGTGCTCTATGAGCAGGGTGGGCTACACCTCTCCTCTCAGTGGTAGAAATGGATGATGTAGTTGCCAATTGGCTTTTCTGTGGGATTCAAGGGGCATAGAGTTGCTGGGAAATGTAGTTTCCCTGGCAAGTAGTTTGGAAAGCTGGGCTGGGCAAGGCAAGCTATAGGCAGCTGAACCCATTTTGTTATGCTGTACGTTTTTGATACAAACTGGAGGTCCTTTGTGCTGCTTGTTTGATGAGCAAAACCAAATGCCTGGGCAGGAGAAGATTGGTGGTAGTGGTGGTGGGGGCGGGAGGTTGTGTGTGTGTTTCTAAACTTCATGGGCCATGCCTTTTTGTTATTGTTTGGCCTGCCACAGTTAGTCACAGGCTCAGATCTCCAAAAGTATTTAGGTTCATAACTCCCATTAATTCAGTGGGAGTTGGGTGCTTAACTATTTTTTGAGGATACAGGCCATATGAGCTTAATCCTGAGTTAAGTGGAAGGGGAAACATGTTGAACTCCACCCATGTACGTATTTAACTGCAGAGTGTGGCAAGAGGTACACCAGTCTCAACACAATGAGTCCTTGCCCCCTCATCATATCCTGCATGACTACACAGTACTCAAAAGGAAGTTGAGGACGGGCTATTACTGAAAGTGCTGAGTGCAGATCCACAGGCTGATAACAAATTGCTTATCAGCAGATTGCGATGTAACTTAGTGACTCCAAAGACATCAAGTGAGCGCCCCAGGATTCACATCAGTGTAACCAGGAGCCGAATTTATCCTTTCTTAGGCAGAGGCCAGTGCATGCATCACTGTATTGAAGTCACTTCTGGGTTGAAACCAAACAACTGTGAATCTGCGCTCTGCAGAGCTAAGGGCATTTGAGGATGGAAAGTGAAAGACACTGTCACAAGGGAAGCTACATCTTAATTGCAGGTAGGAAGAATAGCAGCTGTGTTTATGATCTCACTTTGTGGACCTAGTGTACTCTGTGCATGAGCAGATATTCAGAGGGCATTGATGCTATTCAGTGAATGGAGCACTTGCTGAGATGAGCACACACAGACTTCCTGTGCATTCCCATCAAATGTAAACACAAGCTGCTGTTTGGATTGTAGAGAATAGCTTGGCGTTTCCTTTTCCCTGACTCTTTTAAGAATCAGAGAGTCATATGAAATTTAAAAATCTCAGAAAGGCAGAGAACATCAGTTTTGCTTCCAGTAACTCTCTGAGTCTCATTTTCTTCAGGAAGATAAAAAAATAGCCTTTATGCTTTTCACATTTTCATAACCTCTTCCTCGGCTTTGTCACTATTTCATTATTATTGCGTGTTTGTCTTGTGGCTCTGCCTAGGGACCCTGTCCAACATGGAAGCCATATTGTGTTAGGCATAGTACATGCATTTAGCAACAGACAGTCTTCGTCTCTGAAGGTATGTCTAGACTACAGGGTTTTTTCGAAAAAACTTCCCCAGCATCTAGACTGCGCTGCATTCTTTCAAAAGTAAATTGAAAGAACGCAGCAGTTTTTTCAACTGCGGAAAACCTCGTTTTATGAGGAAGAACAACTTTTTTGGAAAGTGCTCTTTCAAAAATGCCTCTTTCAAAAGAGGCTTGAAGTCTAGACGTAGCCAAAGAGATTATAATCTAAATGGACAAAAGAGGGGATTGCAGAGTGGAGAAAAAGAAATAGGATCCCCATTTTATGGATGGGGAACTGAGAGAGAAATGATTTAGCCCATGTTACGCAGAGAATCTGTAGTAGAATGGAACAGTGTTCCCTCCAAGTGTGGGGGTAGCACAGCTTCACAGGTGATTAATCAGCTCCACCCAGTCAGAGGCTCAGGGCACAGAGCCTCTGAGCCTCTGATTGGGTGGGGCTGATTAATCACCTGTAAAGCTGTGCTGCCCCCGCAGTTTAGAAGGAACACTGGCATCGAACCTCCTGAATCCCAGTCCACTGCCTTAATCACAAAACAACCCTTTTTTCTCCACAGCAGAGAACTGGCAGCACTGAATTGAAATGGATTTTGTTGGGAGACAGCATAGGTTAGGGGCAAGGTCAGGAAACTTGGATTCTGTTCCCAACTCTGCCACTGACTTGCTGTGTGACATTATAAAAACATGAGGCAGGGCCTCAGGTTTCCCACCTGTAAAGTGGGGATAATACCTGCTTTTATAAAGCCCTTTGAGGTCTTTGGATGAAAGCAGCTCTGAGAGTGTAAATAAAGTTATTAATACTTACCTTTTTTTAATACGGCATTCAGAACATATTCAAGTTCCTCTGCAGTTATCTCCATGTCCTAGAGTTGACAAATTAAAGCAGCTGTTATTTTTGTGTGTCCAGAATCAGGCATTTTGAAAGCCTAACAGAATGCAAATGGCATCTATTTGACAACCACAAAACTCATTGCTGTCATTGGGTTTACAGCTTGCTGCTAAAACTGAAGAAATAGTGAATCACACAAACAGAAGGATTAAAATAAGAGGAAATGGTCAAAATACAACTGAGTTGCTCTCTAATATGCTACATGGAATCACATCTCTTCTCAAACAACATAACTGCAGCTTCAGACACAACCAGACTCCCTCACAACTTGTGTTCTAGTGTTGTCTCCTATGTTTACCAGGGACCACGCTGTCAGGAGTTTTATAAAGGCCACAGAGACATCTAGTGGATAAATATATTACATACAGAACCCTGAATTTTCACTTCATGTGGATTCACATGACAACAAAAATATATCTTTCAGCTATGTAGGGTTGTTACTATCCCAATTTTTATAAGACATTCATTTTTTGTATAGTTACATAAAGTTTGAAGTTAGAAGGGCTCATCAGATCAACTAGTCTGACTACATTTCACCCAAAAACCCCTGCATTGAGTTCAGTGATGTCAGTTTAATCCTAAAAAGACAAAACTGTTGCAGGCCACAAACAGAGAATGGGAAAGACCACAGCCCAAAGTCCCTGTGATGCCAGGGAATTGATCGGGTTTGAGATACATCCAGATGAACCTGGCAAATGATGCTTGGCCCATGCTGCAAAGGCGGTAACCTCCTTCCACCCAGTTTCCTTGCTAATCTGACCTGAGATGATATTCCTTTTTGACCCCACATCTGGTGATCATTTAGACCCTGAGCATATGAACAAGATACACCAGCCTGATCACACTGCCTCAGAGCATTAGCCCATCCCGGCTGGAACCACACCTCTACCCATGGCAGATCTCGGCTGTGTTAGAGGAAGGTGAGGCTCACTCCCCCTAGATTATAAGTGTGTATCAGGGAAAAACTTCCTCACTGCCCCCCCGAGAGAGCCAGCTAAAGCACCAAAGCATAACATTAGATCATAGCCATTCCTGTAAGACAAAGCTAAAAGTGTTATGAGTACTCACTCACCTCTCCCGCAACCTGTTTAAACAATGCCCGGAACTGTTTTTCTTCTTCGGTTTCTTCTTGTGGTGGGGTTGGCTTAGGGGGCTATAAGAATAGGGAGACACTAAAAGTATCAGAGATCTAACATCTGTTCTTGCATACAGGTTATGAGTTAGTCAGAGTAATTCTGTTAAAGGCTAGAAGAGACCACCAGACTATGGTGGTCTGACCTTCTGTGTATCACAGGGCACTGAGACCAGCCAGCATCCACACACTAACCCCAAGAACTAAACGAGACCAAAGTGCTACAGCCCCAAGGAGACTAAACTATTGTGTGTCACAGAGAATAGGAGGGACTGAGATGCATCAATGCATGAGGCCTCTGCAATGGCAGGGCAATGATTAAGCCATCCATCCACCCTTGCAGCGCAGCGGGGAGTGCTGGGCATCTTGAAACAGATACATCTTTTAGATTCTGTTATATTTTGTATGAAAAACATAACCCTCCATGGCAGCCGATGTATTAGAAAGTTTCACCTTTCATTGCTGAGAGCCCATGCTGTTGTGTATTCCTAAGAAGCAGGCAGAGCATGGGGGCTAAACATTGGTGGCCGCCAGTATCCTGAGCTACACGGTTTCCAAACTATCTGTTTCCCATTTTTTAACCACATTCAATCAAGTGAAGCCTGGAATAAGCAGGTACAACAGTCAGGGAAATCTCTGGGTCGAATTCGGTGGTAATAGTCACTGCTGTGTGTAATACAAGGCTGGGTGCGTGAGTGGGTCATAAAATAGGTGTAAGTGGCAGGGATGGCATTCAGTGGCTCTGTGCAAAATGAGTGCAACTTGCATGTCAATATACAGGAAGGACGTGCGCCAAAGGAGAATCAACAGATAAGTGAGGAAGATCCTGCACTGTTCCCAGCACTGCCATAGAATAAGATATTGTATATCCACTGATACCAAAAGTTACACTGATTTGACACTTATGCTCATTTTTCATAACATTTAAAGCTAGAGTAAACCCAACATGACACTTAGCCCACCCACCATTTATCTACTGCCGTTCAGATGCAGGCACTTCAATACCTAGGCTAGATAAATAGAATCGGGAAATGTAAAGGTCAATTTGTTACCCAGTTTCCGGAATCCAGGGAAAGCCAAGTGAAACACAGTTATAGAGATGCAGGCTGAAGCTTGGTTTACTTTCCTTCTGCAAGTATTTCCACTGCAACCAGTGGGACTATTTGCAGGAAAAAGATGAGCAGGGTCTAGCTCAATCATCACCCCAATATCGTGACTACAAAGTGCTTCAAAGACTGCCTGTCCAATTCTGATTAAGCACCAAAATCAGTGCAATATTCAGCAGCAAAAGATGTCTAATCATTTTTATGAACATGCAAATATCAAGCATCTCACTCCAAAACATTCTGTGAATGTGGGTGTGCATGCATGAGTGAGAATAGGGTCTGTGCCCCTAACTGTGACAAGCTGCACAGGACAGTGACTGGACAAAGCCACAGATGGTACACAGTGGCTCAGGTCAATCGATTTTTGTAGCTATGTCAAAATATACTAGCTGTGGAACCAGCCCTTAATTTCTTTCTGATTACAGCTGCCTAGCAGCAAACACTTGGAATTAACACAATCATACTAATACTAATATTAATTTTCTTAAAATCCAGCCCAACTGCACATATCACACACACAGATGGCATGTCCCTAAAATGCAGGTGAAATGAAAAAGCACAAACAGAGCATGTTAAGATTATATTGAATTATCCACTCCTTATTTTAGCTCTGTAGACTTACCTCTGGTAGATCAATATCAACATTTCCATCCATATCCCTGAGGGAAACAAACATGCATTCAGTAACAAAAGACCTTACTGGAGAGACTTGCTGTTTAAATTTTCTGGAAGTAAAAGTGAATGTGGTATTTGTACCGAACAAATTATTCACTTTGGGTGAAATTCACCCCTCGGAACAGAGTCAGGTCTTTGCATCATTCAAGCTCAAAACAGAGCTTCAGTGGTTCTAATGTCTAGCCTGAACCATAGTTACGAGGGTTAATTTAACATTTTATATGTTCTGTAAATGTTTTTAAAAATAATTTATTCTTTATTAAACATGGTAATTTAGCGAGGAAACAAAAAGGAACATTATTACATGTGCAGCTGGTATCAAGCTGAGTGCCCCAGGGCGCAGTCCTTGGGCCTGTTTTGGTCAACATTTTCATTAATGAAAATGGATCTGAGGATTATAATGGATGAGATATGAGCCAACAGTGTACCCCTGATGCCAAGAAGGCTGACGGGCATATTGGACTGCATTAGCAGGAGCATTGCCAGCAGATTGAGGGAAGTGATTATTCCTCTCCATTTGGCACTGGGCCACATCTGTAGTACAGGCAATCCCCGAGTTACGCGGATCCGACTTATGTCGGATCCGTACTTACGAACGGGGCTTTTCTTGCTCTGGAGGATGTGGGCGGCGGGACCGCCCAGACGCGCCGCGGTCCCGCCACCCGGGTCCTCCGCAGCTTTGCTCCGCGTCTCCCTGGTCTGCTGGAGACCAGCAGACCAGGGAGACGGGGGGGGGAGACGGGGG